CAAACTGGAATCAGACCTATCTTTCTTTGCTATGTATTTTTGAAGTTTGTACTCAAGTGTAGGTATTTCTTCATATTCTACAGTTATTAATGCTCATTTCTCTGAAATAAAGCAAGGATTATATTTCCCAATGAATTCTTTAAAGTATTATATAAGAGAGTAAAATCTCCTCCATAGAGAATGTTTTTGAACTCTTGCACCTAATAACAACTTGATGTTATTTTCAGTGGATATAGCAAGGGCTGGGTTCCAAGAAATTCATGAAAACACAGAGGGGTAGTTACACCAGGTAGGCATGACAGGAATTCCACAGCAGAAGCTTTTCAATGTTTGAAAGGATCCATTCATTGGAAGAGGTGTTGTATAAATGAACTTAAAATGATGAACTTTTAAAAACTGTTTCTTTTTTTTTGACATTTAGCATTATTGGTTTACCTCAAGGTAATACAATAAATGGGATGAATTACGTAACGTTTTGAAATAGTGTAATGGTTTGTAGTGATATTTATCTGGTGATATCATGCTTTAATTATTAAGATTGAGTCAATTCATGCAGAAGGTTTATCTGCACACCCAACAGATATATTTTCTTACCACTGTATAAACTGATGAAGAAATGCATGCTCTAAAGGGAGTATTAGTCCTAAAAGTAGCTTAACATATGTTAGATTATGTTTATAGCCTGTAAAGTTATAAATTAGTCTAAGGATTAAGGGTACTCTTCAGCTATGTTGACAGTGTGTAAATAGTAATACTATGCTAACGATAGCAGGTGAAAAAAATTAGGCAGAAGTTGGATTTGAAGTTGATTGTCTTTAATTTCTCCATAGTTCATTATTATCAATGTACAGAGTCTCTTTTTCTATCATTCCTGCAGTAGTTAACACATTGGTGGGGACATATTTATCTTGTATCATAATCCCTTCTTTAATATTGTAGGCCTTAAAATTGTTTGGTTGAAAACTTTAAAAGCTTTTGTTGGAGGAGTTTGTATTACATGTACATCTGAAAAGAAAATAAAAAAAAAAGCACTGAAACTGAAATTTCAGAATAAAATCCATCGTTTTGGGTATGAACGTAAATGGGTTCCCTTTCAAGTAGCATTTCTACATATACATTTCTTTATATTCAAATACATGGGTATAAAGTAACTATCATCCTTAATTAGTCATACCTGAATATAAAACCAATTGTTTGCTTTTGTGAATTATGTGGAAAATGTGGTGGACACACAGTCTCAACAAGAAAGTTAGAGATGTGTAGCCATAGATATTTCTGATACCGCAAGAGCAGTACCAAATTATATTGGATAGTCACCTTTATTAACCCTAGCAATTGAACTTGTAGTAGCTCTCTAGTTGCCTATTTCGTTGCTGGCATCTAAACAGTATCCACTTTTGGATCTCATAGGAGTTTTATGAAAATGCATGCAAAGGGTTGATTAAATGACACTTTTTATGTGAAACATGATTTTTTTTTTCAGTATTATGTTTAGGGAGTGCAACTTTATTAATAACAGTTCTTAATATGTAAAATCTCAGTTGCAGACAGTTTTTGCAATTCCCAAGCCATAGGCATCATGGAAGGTGGGGTTTTTTGTTTGTTTTATTTACCACTAGCATGTATATAGTGACTATCCACTCACTGTTTCGGTAGCTGGATCACTAGCAGAGTCCTTATTACCCTTGGCTGACCAGAGAAGTCAGTGGATATTTGTTCAATAGAGGATGAGGCAAGTCAAGCATTTCCCTGTGTTTGATTTCCATCCTCTGCAGATTATCCCATCAGCTGCTGCAGTTTAAGAATTTGCTTCCCACTCCTGTTCCCTTCATAACCTTTGTAGTACCTCTAGCAAAGACAAAGTGTCCTACTCAGCAACACATTTTGGAACAAACATAATTTCAGATAACTGAGATAAATATGTGAAAAATAAAGGGGAAAAATAAATTCCTACAAAACAATGGGGATGCTTCCTAGAAAGCACATGGAAAGTTTCCTAGAAAGCACAAGGTAAATTCCTGGAAAGCAGAAGAGAGATTTCCTAGAAAATGGAGGACATTTCCTGGAACGTAGGAGGGTAGTTCCTGGAGAGCAGTGAGGAGGGTTCCTGCAAAGTAGAGGTGGGCCTTCTTAGTAAGCATATGGAAAACTTCCCGGAAAAAGTGAATCGAAAATTTCCTAGAAAGCAGAGGGAGGTCTACACAGCCAAGAGGTGTTTCCTAGAAGGCACGTGGGGAAATTCCTGGAAATCAGTAGAGGGAATGCATAGAAAGCAGAAGGAGGCGTTATTAGAAAGCATTTGGGTGGTGGGAATTCATGGAAAGCAGGTGGGAAACTGGGGAGCTGCAAAGGAATTTCCTAGGAAGCACAAGGTAAATTCCCTGAAAGTAGGGACAGAATTCCTAGAAAGCAGAGGGGGATTTCCTAGGAAGCACATAGGGGGAAACAACTGCAGAGCAGATTTCCCGAAGAGCAAAGTGGGAATGCCTGGAAAGAGGAGAGGGTATTCCTGGAAAACACGGGGGGAATTCTAGAAAGTGGATGGTAGAAAAAGGAGAGCAGGGTGGGGTGTGTGGGGAGAACACCTGCAAAGGTGGAAAGCACCCAGAGAATTCCCAGAAAGCCAAAGGAGGGCTATTCTAGAAAGCACACTTGAAATTCCTAGAAAGCTGGAGTGTGAATTGCCAGAAAGCACATGAACAAGTCCTGTAAAGCAAAGGGGGAATTCCCAGAAATCATGTGCAAAATTATGGGCATGTGGAAAATTTCCTAGAAAGCTGAAGGTTAATGCCTAGAAAGCAGAGAGATATTCCTGGAAAGTAGTGGAGTGCATTCCTAGAAAGAATGAGGTAAATTTCTACAAAGCACATTTTGGGGTGGGGATGGGCACTCCTAGAAAGCAGAAAGGGAATTTCCCAGAAAGCATGCGGGAATTTCATGGAAAGTAAAAAGAGGAATTCCTAGATAGCAATGACAGAATTCCAGAGAGACACGAGTGGTAGCATGAGATCATCAAGATGGGTGAGGAGACAGGTTGGGTGGACTTTCCCCCCTTGGCAGGGACAATGTCACAGACTGTTTGCTGTGGGAGTTGAATTGTGGTCAACATGCTCTGTGTACAGGCATTTGCACAGATAAGCACATTTCTGAACTTTAGGCTTACCACAAATTAGACTTTGTAGGTATTTTGTTTCCAAAGTCATGTTTTTACTCATGTTGCTGTTCTAAGTCAAAACTATGCTAGCAATTTCTTTACACACTGCCACACTGTTCTTAATATTCCAAAATTGCACCTTACCTGTTACTTCTCTGTGGTCGTGGTTAGTATGGCGATAGCTCATGGTACTCTGCAAGTGAAGTAGAAAGCTCATACAGAACTCCACAAATTGCTGGGCTTAAAACTCAGGTTAAGCATGCATGCAGACTGAAACATAGTAGAAAAATCTGTAAATAATTTTGTTGAAAAATTAGGTTGCTTCTCTGCTATTAAAAACATCTTTTAAACATTTGATTGCAAAGTTAAGTTTACTTTAAATTAATGGATAATAAATATATTCTCTTAAAACTTTTTTAAAGCTGCAGGGTTTTTTTATGATTATCTGTTTCTTTATTAAATCTATTCTTTTGGAATATAAATAGGACAAGGCAGCTTTTGGGTGGTAACTGAACTAAAACAGAGCACTACTGGCAAAAAATGGGCCATCAAAAGGAGGAGAAAGGCAAATATGTAGATAGGTGATTTTCTTTAAAGTGCTGTTAGCTTTCTTATGATCAGATGATATTTATTTTTTTTTGTTTACAATCTCTGTTTGAGTACCAAGATGTCATATTAGATCCAGAATTTCTCTTTTCACCTATGTAGATGTTTATTCTCATTTTTCAGGTATTATTTTGTCTCTTAGTCATTTTTCCTGTAGCAGAACCTAGAAGCAGCATGAGTTTTTAAAATACTCAACCTCTGTTGTCTAACCATGTAAGTTAGGGCTCTTATTCCTTCATGAAAGAATAATTGAAAAGGTGTTTGATTCCAAACTATCCAAATCTGATCAAAGAATATATGCAGTTGAAAGGTGTTTCTTTTTTAAGTATGTATTTTTATTTTAAAAAGAATGTAAGGTATAAATTAGGAACACAAAGTGTTACATTCACAAGTCAGTACGAATATAACGGTACAACTTTATGCCTAATAAAGCTCCATGATGAATCCTGAAACTCACAATTTACCAGGTGAGACTTCAGACACATTATTTTGTTCCTCTTGATAGTCTAAACTTTTCAAACTGTTAAATTGGCAATAATATATTCGTTTATATTTTGGTTTATTTAACACGTTAGAAAAATACTGCACTTCAGTCATTGTTAGCTCATGGCAGCTGTGGCAGTACTGGGTATGGTTATGCTTAAATGGGATACTCTTATGTAGATTGAATTGTTTCATCTCATTGATGCCACACAAATCCATCCTGTTATTGGTGGGTACTGGGATGCTTGGTGCTCTGTAAAATAATTTTTTCCTCATTTGGTCTCATTCATATATTTGTGAGATCATGGGTATTATCTCCACTGAGCTTGCCAGCTTCCAGTGTGAATAATTACATTTTGTTTAACTCCATTGTCCCAACATCTTTATTTTTTGTTCACTTTAGATGCTTATTAAACATCACCTATTCTATTTAAGTGAAGTCTTTTTTAATTTTTGTTTCATAGGTACAAGGTGTGTTTGGATAGTGTGGAAATGGTTGCATACAATCAAACTTGAAGGCTTACAGAATACTTCATGGAATTGTGTATTTAAAACTGTAAGATGTTACGGGCCATATTTATTAGATCAATGCAAGCAATATTGAAATACACTAGGATTTACTTGGTAGTCATATTTCTGAGTGTAAGACTGATTAATTTCTTTAAAATATCCTATGGCTTTTTAAAAAATAACTTGTTATTGTTGAAAAAAATAATATTGTCGTGTTTGTAAAATGTGTTTCCCATCAATAACTCAGGGTGGAATTTCTGCCATGAAGCTACTTGAATGGGAAGTGAGCATCTTAAAAAGAGTGAACCATGATCATATAACAGACTTGGAAGAGCTGTTTGAGACATCAAAGGTTCATTACTTGCTGCACTAGTGTCAGTAGACTGAAAAACAAACAAACAAAAGAACCATCTCTGTTCCATGGTAACTCATCATACATTTTATTTAACAATTTTGTAATTTGATACAAATCTTACAGCTCTTGACCAGAATATTGTGGAAATATTTATATTTTACTTTCCTCTAAATTCCTGCTAAGCCACTGTTGTTAGTAATATAAACTAGCAGTTCAACAGAGGAGAAAAACAATTTATGTCAAGGGAAATACCTGACTAAGCCTGCTCTGTTTGCCAGTCTCTGATAGCCAGAGACAATTACTACAGGCTGGCTTTTTATTTCTGCCTTCTTCCAATTCTCAGATCTTTTTTTTTTTCTTCCTATTCTATTAAGAACTATTGCAACACTAATTAAATACAGTCACCATGAAAATTCTTCTGCTTGTTTGCTGTAGTGCTCTGTAAGGAAGGTGGTCCTCTTGTGTGTCCATAGCATTTCTAACAAGGGGAAACATCAGCTGACGTCTTTCCATTGTTTATAGATGTCTGTTGTTTCAGTAACTGTTATCAAACCAAGGCATGGTGGAAATCTTATTTTTGAGGTTAAATTGCTACTATTCTGTCTTTAACTTACTGTGTTACTTGTTGGAAAGGTGTTATTGCTAAGCTGAACAGAACAGTTCTCAGGACTTTATGATGACAGCACCATATTATAAATATTGCAGTAACACATGCAAAAAAATATTCACTGTTAGTTGTAAGTGTGGGGGTTTTTTTGTTGGGGTATTGGTCAGAAGTCTTATTTCAGTAATGTATTACAGTTTTCATTCCTAGCTGCTGAGAAGTTGCATTTTGTATTTTTTCAAATGTTGGTACTTAGGCTTTCTGTAAAAGCCATTGATGATGCATTGAATGGAAAAGGCTGTTAGCTAAATCTGTACTTAGTCTTTGTTTTGAAATCATAGTATTTTTATACATTTTTTAAAAGTGTAAGTATTTTGAAAGCTTGAGAGTTTCTTATAGTAAGCACTGGCGATATTTGCAGCAGGTCAATTGTCTTTTGTCTTCTGTCCATAAAATACTAAGTGCATTGGGGTTCTAGATCATCACTGCAGCTGGAGCACCGCTATTAATTATATATATTGTTATTACATTAAAAAAAACTAAACTCAGAAATAACTAAATCATTACATTCTCTCTTTATTAACATTAGCAGATGTATCTTGTAATGGAGCTATGTGAGGATGGAGAACTTAAAAAAATTATTTGTAGTAAAGGACATTTTACAGAAAATGAGACAAGGCACATCATTCAGTGTCTTGCTTCAGCAATAGCGCATCTTCACAAAAATGATGATTAAGTTCCTCTGTCTCTCCCATATGTTCATTGATTTTGAGTGTTCATACATTCACCAACAGTTACTGATTGCTATTCTTATCTATTATTTATTTCATAGTATAAAGATAGTCCAGAAAAAAAAAAAGTAAAATATACTACATGAATGTTTTTTTGGACTTTATTTTTCTTACAGATGCAATAACTGCTACCATCTTTTATTTTATTTTTCTTTCCGTACCAGCTATGAATAACATGTATTCCTAACTTGCAACTGCTTTGCATTATAACACTAACTTAGTTTAGTTGTTAAGTGTATAGTCAGGAGGTAACAAACAAGAAGTGGGTTGTTTCTGATACTTCTTAACAGTATGTGTTGCATTTAGGACTCAGTAAACATCAGCATTTTCATCCACCACATAGAAGCACTACAGTTCCGCTCAGTCCACAATAGAGTTTTCCTATCCTACTGAAGATTTAGAATTGGTAGATAGTGTAGGATTGTGAATAATTCTGAAGCTTTTTACACAGAAATTATTAATCTCTGTTACAGCATACCACTTCTAGGAATCCTTCATTTCTTTCCACAGCGATATACAGGGTTATGGAATGGTACCTCGTTTACAGCCTTCTCTCTTCTGTGTACTCATAGGAAGGGCAAAAACTTCTATTGGTTTTGGATAAGAAAATAAACTGCAGGTATGAAAACATGTGAAAATTTGATAATTATACAATATAAACACTACTTTTTTGTTAGATGATGGCAGGTGACCTACTGATATTAAAGACTGAACCAATACGAACTTTTTCCTTTATTACAGGATTGTGGGGAGGAATGAGATTTGAAAATTTGAAATACTTATATGACTCCCTGAGTGAAATGGAAAGTATGCTTTTGGTTAGGCTTCCAGTAGTTCAGAGTAAAATGCACTGGAATTGATCAAAGAAATTACTCAATCGAAAGAGTTTAAAACATTCCTGTCAGAACATCTTCACTGCAACTGATAACATTTTATTTCTTACTCTCTCTTGGCAGATATTGTTCACAGAGATCTAAAACTGGAAAACATTTTAGTTAAAAGCAGTGACATCAATGAAGCAAATGAAATGAAATTAAATATAAAGGTAAGATGACAATTGTAGAAGTTCTGCTTCAAGAACTGGTTTTAATATCCACGTATTACTGGGAGACCTGACTTTGATACCTATTAGCAGCTTTTGAAATGAGCTACTAAATGGTGTTATTAGGGGGAAAAAAATCATTTTGGAAGCTAAGTGCCACTGCTGAAAAAGGCTTTTTTTTTTTTTTTAAAAAAAAAAGTAAGTATATTTTCAGATCAATTAAAAAAAAAAATATCCTTAAAGTAACCATGCATTGTTCATCTAGATCTACGTTAGTACAGTCCCAAGCTGTTAGTTACAGGAAGCCAGCAGATCCTGTAAGATGTAATTAATTTTTGAATTAGGAATATTGTTGATTTAATATAAATCTGCTAGTATTTAGACTATTTAGACTGTGTCCTTGATTGAAATACAAATATATTATAGGATTCTTTTGATGTTAATAAATATTTACTACCTAAACACAATGTGCCATATGCTTACATCTTTTTACTGAAAAAAAAATAGTCTTTGATGCTTAATAAATCATATGCTATTTATCCATTGCTGATTTGCTGTCTTAGTAGTAGTTACTGTGAAAATGTAGGCAGCTTCTAAAATAACCTTGTAGAATTGAATTATTGGATCTTGAATGTACTGTCTTGGGTAGAAAAGCACATGTTGAGAAATGTTTCAGATGCTGAAGGGTGTGGACAACTGAGTAATTCACAATGGGACAAACTGAGGGTACAGAACTGTGTTTGCTATGTTTCTTATACAGGTCCTGACGGCTTCCAGTTTTTTGCACCAAAAAAGACAGAGTTTAAGTAATTTTTTATGAGGAAAGGTGACTGTCTGACAAAAAACAATCAGGTTTCCAGTTTGCTTTTTGTGGATATGGAAGAATGCTGTGAGTGATTTTCTATTTATTTTTTTTTAAATATCATATTGCATTTTGAATATCAGAACTTCTCACGGTTTTGTCACATGAGGAAGGGAAGAACAAAGTGAATTTAGGTAATGACAATCGATTCTAGGACACCCAAAAAGCCTGTGAGGGGCTACCAGAGTATAGGAGCTGCTACCCTCTCCCCCTGCCATTTTTCCCCGTTAAGAAAAGTACAGTGGCTGAATTGTAATATCCTGGAATGCAGAAATACTAAATTTGTGACAAAACCTCACTTATTTCATCATCATGTACAGCACGACTCTAATATTTTAAAACAACTTTTCTTAGTTCCAGGGCTTTGATATTGTGCTGCTTATAGCATGACAGTTGATTGAAAGACACAGACTTTAACTTTGTCTCCTTACAGGTAACTTTTAGAGGCAACCATCATTTGGTCCCATTTCGTCTCACTTTCATTTCACTAATATCTCAAATATGTGGTGCTTAAAAGGGTGAGGAGACAAAATGCAATAATTTTATTCCTTCCTAATACGTTAACTAATGTAAACTTGAGGAAGTAGCTTTCACTCATAGACACCAGTAACATGAAAAGGAGCAACTAAGTTTCTTGGGTTTGCTTTTTTTTTTTTAAAAAAACCCAAACAAACAAAAAGCAACTAACAAAACCAAGACCCCCAAAACCCTCAAAACCACCCCAGCTTTGTAGTTAAAATTTTGCCAAATGTAAAGATTTTTTTGAGGATTGGGAGAGGGTGGACACACAAATGTCTGTTCCAGTGGATTCCAGGATTATAAATGGACAAGAGAAAAAAGTTAGTGTTTCTAAATGTGGCTGTATTCTTGCTCTCTCTCAATTTACTCATTCTATTTCCATATAGAATAAAATTAGTTTGGTTCATCTTAAATGAAAGCAAAAGTAACATTCTCCGGTTTTAGTTAAGATTTTCTAGCCATCACCTTTTGGTTGAATGTTGGAGCTGGTGGTGTATGCTGACGTCTGGTTCGGACCAACAGAACAGCAAACAGAAAACTGCCTCCAGGAAGTGAAATTTTCATTTTGCATGTTCTTTTTCTTAAAGACTAGCTTGAGAGATAGTGGAATCCATATCAGTGTAGTGGACAAGCACAAATGCATTTATGCAATATAATATGAGATACAAATTTTAGTGGGCCAAAGCTGCTGACCCACTGAGTGGCTGGCCCTCAAATGCTGCCCTGAAGTTGGTGGGGGGGGAAGATCTGCTGCTTAGTTGGGTTTCAGCCATGCCAAGCGTCATCTCTTTCTGGTGGAGATGAAGGAGGCACATTTCCAGCCATTTGTCTTTCCTGCTGTTACGTGTCCTGACAGCTGTGAGGAGGAATGGACCCACCGAGAGCATGCTGCAGCCATCAGTTGACAAGTTGTCCATGTTCATGTGACAGTCTAGGTTTTCATTTAGGTTCTTAACAAGCAACACTCTGATTTATCAGCAACTTGGTTGTATTTATCTTGACCTTCTAACTTCTGTCTCTGTTCCTCCTTGCCCACAGCAATGTAGCATCTCTACCATCGGTCTTTCCGATGGGGCTGTAGTTGGGCTTTCCAACCTGCTTTATTCACAGAGAATGTAAAGTGGTCAGCAGGGATTTGCCCTGTGTCGTTGGAGAATACTTAGCTTAATGTGAGCTTGAATGTCAACGAAAAAAAAAGTTATATTAAAAAAAACGCTTAGGTAGTGGAAGAAATTTCCCAGCAAAATAATTACAGGACAAACGTTAGTGGTGTTCTGAATTTCTGTTAGGATTCATTCTCCTTTTTTGAGCTCTGCTCCAAGAAAAGGAAGCTAAAGTACATGCCTTGCTAGCTCAGACTTTGTCCTACAGAAAAATATCATCTCTTCAGCTATCTGTAGCTTTTGTTGAAAGGGTATGGAATCACCGTTTTAATTTGGATGCTACCTCTATCAAACAGCATTAAAGATGACCTAAGATCTCTTGGAAATAATTGTGTTTCATTGTGCTGTTATTCAGTCAGCCTTCACAGTTGTTTTGAGGCTTATATTTCTGGTAGGTGAGCAGAACAGCTGCACAGGTTCTTTACATCCCCTTTTCAGGGGCAGGTGATGAGTAGTGCTTTTTTGGTAAGGTTTCTTTTGATAATCATGGGCTTTATTGTCTGCCTGTAATGGTTCAGACAACTGGACTGGAGATAAATGGGGCTCTAAAGAAAACAAGCAATGATTTCTTTTAAATCAACTCTGGGATATGTTTGCCTACGCATGTTCCTTCTTTCTCTTGCTGTTCTGGAAGTTCAAAACCTCTGACATTCTTCATTGGTTGAGAATTTGAATAGCATTTAAGGTTGTACCATCCTTTAAGCCTGCCTTGGAAGGTTCATGGATACTTGACGCCTAGACAAAGTTGACAGGAGACGTTACAGTCTAAAGAATCTGAAATCAAGTGCATGTGGTTTTTGCAAATGTGCCATTGGTGGCCAGAGGTAATCAGAGATACAAAGAGCCATTTTAACACAACATAACTAATTCTTTTCAAACTCTCTTCTGCATAAGAGAGACAGAAGAACTCAATTCTTCTCAACTACTCATGGGAAAAGAGGTACAACTGTTGCACACCAGCTGAGGACTGCTGCCAATTGCCGCTTGGGTCAGTTGATTTGAGGGGATGCTCTCACTCCACTCATTGTCCAGTGCCTAAAGGAGATGAATAAGCGGGTCCCTACAGTGAGGACAAATAGCTCTTCCAGCCGATTATACCTCTTCAGAGTGAAAGCAGTGACATGCTGTGTTATGCAGGGAGTTACTTCATAATCAATACCTACAGGCTGCATGAAATTAGCTCTATGTCTACTACAACAAAGGAAGGCAGCAGTTAGGCAAGATTTTGTTCAGATTGTAGATGTTGCTGTAGAGGAGTCTGGGTTCTTGATTGATGATATTCCTTGATGATGCTGTACTGTGCATTGTCATGCACTTCTTTTCTGACTTTTTTTTTTTTTTCTTTCTGCTCCCCTTGCCCATCAGGTACTCATTATAATCTCTTAGGTGATATGCAGCATTAATTTCTTCTTATTTTCTCATGAGCCTCCATGCAGGTAACACCCACTGTGCATTTCCATTCTACGTGTTGTTGTCTTCAAACTGTCTCAATCTACCTTATATTATTGCTAAGTTAAGTTCAGTGAAAGTAGCGTATTCCACTGTTACAAGGTCAGCTTTTTCTCTGTTGCTGGATGTTTTTGAAGCCAACAGTGCCAGCTGAATCACAGTACCTCACTCTGGTTACATAAAGCTAATTTGTATCTTCTGACATGTGGCAGAAACCTTTAGGAATCTCCAGCTAAACAATGGGATTAAATTCTAAACCATTTTTTTCTTAGAATATTTCCATCCAAACAGTGTGTCTGTTCCAGTGCATGACACTGATTATTATTTGTTGTTGAAGTGGAAGTTGAAAAAAAACCATGAAAGCAGGTAATTATGATGTAGCCTGTCCAAAGGACACGCTTTTCAGGTTTTCATTCTTTGCTTATTTAGGCAATGAATGCTTTGCATTCCATAATATAAAGATTTCTACCCCTTTCTGATTTATACTGCACACTGTGATGTACTTTACTTTGTTATCCAATACAGCACTCATTTTTTAATTCTGTGAAGGTCTTTTTCTCAATGGTATATACTGGCAATGGATTTCACAGCTTGCTTATAACAGACTGAAGCAAAAAAGAAATCCTTTTTGGAGGAAGATAATTAGTCCTTCTGACATTTTGATTGATGAAATACTAGTAATATTAAATACTTCTTTAAGTGAGGGGGTTGCATGGGATGAAATTACTTTCCAATTTACTAATCATGACAGAAACATAGAGTCTCAACACTGGAAGGGACCTCAAGTCATTTGATTTATTTCTCTGTCCGAAGAAAGAAGCAGCTATACTTAAGTCTTTTCTGATGAATATTTGTGTAAAGTGTACTTAAAGACCTCCAGTAATGGAGACTCCGTAATCTTTCCAGGCACTCTATTCTGATGCTTCATTATCCTCCTAGAAATTTTTCCTCCTGTCTGCACTGAACCTTCAGTTTGACAATCAGCTTTAACTTATACCTACAGGCCATGATCTAATCACTTTTTTCATTACAAATTTTCAGTTAACTCACCTGCAGCCACATAATTGCTAGAGCTGACCTAAGGGAGGTGGTGGGAGCCTATGCGTGGGGCTAAGGAAAAAGGTGGAAGTGTGCTTCATATTTTCAGACTATTATTTCTCACCCTATCCATCATGCATATGAAGAACAGGTAGCCACTTCTCTGTTTTCAGCAATCTGGTATCACGTTTCTACCTTGGTTTCTTGGTCTTTAGACTAAACAAAAATAATTTTCTCATTCCTGTCCTGCGTTTCCTATCTTTGTGATAGACTCACCATGCTCCATTCAGTACCTATTATGTCAAAATGGGACTATACAAAAGTGAGCTCAACATCTAGTTGAAGCCTCACCAGTGCTGGGCTGAGCAGAAGGATTGTTTTGTGTGTACTGCAGACCTGAGGCTTGTGGCTAGAACACAGGTGACGACTGTTTTTTTGTAATTTATGTAAGGACTCTGAAGTCCATGTAAAAGAACACGAGGTAAGCGCTGGGAATCAGGCTGTTGGCCTGTTTTTTCAGCTGGCATATTTAATTAGGCTCCCAACCCAGACAAGGGGAAGAGTGTTGGCCTTGGCCTCCTCAGAAAAGGCGGGCATGCACAAAGAGGTTTTGTACCAGAGTGGCTGCTTGATGCTCGTCCTGCCTCGAAGAGGCGTTGTCTGGTACCACTGGGACTGTTAACTCATCTTTGGCTGGTGATTTGCAACAGTCCTTGAGCTGCTGCCTGACCAGCTCTTCTCCTTGTGTTTGCATTCTGAGCTTGTCTTTCAATATACTTACAGTCATTCCTGGCTTGATGTTATCTTCATATTTAATAAGCATGTTCTCTCTTGGATCACCCAGGTCATCAATTATCATGGTATCGTGGCTAGGACAGACACCTACAAAACATGCCTTGACACAGCCTTCTACCTTGGCAATGAACAAGTTACAGCTACTTTCTGAGAAGCATTTTCTATAAGCATGTGTGCGTTGTTCCTGTGATATTTTAATGTAGACAGTGTTATGAAAAAAGTTATGTGAATCAGTATCAAAGGCTTTACTAAAATAGAGATATGGGAGATTTAGTGTTCCTCCTCTAACCCCGAAGCCTGTCAACCTGTGCTACATGGAGATTTGTTCCTGACAGGTGCATAATGGCTGTTACTTACCTCTTTGTTTTCTTCTAGGTGCTTATTATTTCCAGTATTTTCCTGGGAATTAAAATTAATGGGAGGCATCTGTAATTCTTTGATGCCAGCTTTTCCACCCTCTTACGGCTAGATACCATGATTGCCTTTTTCAGTTTTCAAGTATTTTACCTGCCTTCCGCTAATAGTTCTTGAACTGCTAATAGCTCTGAAAAGTCTTGTCAGTTTTTAAAGTACTGTAGAATGAATTTTATCGGTTACGGCTGATTTTAAAATTTCCAACCTAAGTACTTGCTAACCTTTTGCTTCTCTGTAAAAAACTGAGGTCTTGCCCCTTTGTCATTGATATTGATTGTGCTTTCCACTGCTCGCAGTTGACATTGTGGTTAAGATTGATGTAAGAAGACATTAAATACATTTGCCTTCTGAGCATCATCTATCAATTGCATTCTTGGTTGAATACAATACTAGCCTCTTTATTCATTGTCTTCCTGCTACTCATATACTTACAGATTATTTCATTTTTAGTTACATCCCTTGTTAGTTGCTCCTCATTTTTCCTTTCTGATTTTGCCTCTGTATGCTTCTGTTTTCCTTTTGTTCTTATTTCCATCTTTTGTATGCTCCCTCCTTGTGTGTGAGACTTCTGGAAATTCACAATTTAACCAAACTGGTTTATTAATTAAAAAAAAAAAGTAAAAGTAATAGCACTTTCCTGATTCAGTCATTTTATTTTCTGTAGGCTATGTATATAATGATCTAAAATTTATATAAGTTTGTAAGTTTCCCCAGGATGTAAATAGCATGAATTACTGCTGGTTTAAAACATTCTCAAAACAATCGATTAAAAATGAGACAATACTGTAGGTTCTGGCCAGTTTGGCAATACTAATGGTAAGAATCTCCTTTAAAGTCTTGTTTTACCAGTTGTGGTATTATCAAACCATTAACTTAAGACTATTAAGTCCCTTGACATAATAATTAGCTATGTGAAGCCTGGTACCTGCCTAAAACATAAAAAACCTGAGATGAGAGTTAACCAAGCCTTTTGATTTGGTGGGACAACACCTCTCTCTGTCAGTCTCCTCTTCTATTGCATGAAGGTTTTTATCTTCCGTTCCTTACTGGGGCTAACTATCTCATCTCCATTGATTCTGGAAGTGAAGATTGTAGATTTTGCTGTGCACTCACAACCACATCTCCCATGATATAGTAGATAAAATAGTGATAAAATGGCCTCAAAGCATCATCTTTTTGACACGTGACTGAAATGATATAAAGTGATTAGTGAATAGATTATAATTTGTGAATTTTTGATCAAGGATATAATTAAATAGGTTTGAAAAGTTTTATTTTAGAGTATTTTAGTATTGATTTTGTTCATCATATGAGGTATTCAAGCTAATATGTGCAAACAGAGGCTGTTGTGTTTTTGCAAAAAGCCTGTGTTCTTATCTACTATGCTTATATCTGGGAGAAAAATAAAAGTTTGTATGGTGTCTTGCAGTACTTTAAGTCTGTGCGTTATGAATACTGCTTTAATAACTTACTGTTGGGAAAAAGAATACTAAGTTTAATCATACAGCTAATGTCGCGATGTCACCACCCCCTTAACAGCTAAATGATAAAAGTGAGGACACATCAGCATGAATTGTTAAGGTCTGTACATTATTCATTTAAACATCTGCTGTTGGTTCCTCTTTACATATGGGAATAAATTATACCACATCAGCACATTCTTCATGCTTTGTGTTTAAGCATTTAAAAGTTTTTTTTTGTATTATTAATACTATTTTTTCTGCTTGGTTGGCAGCCCCTGAAGTTACCAGTGCCTATGACTACAGCCAAGAGTGTGACATTTGGAGCGTAGGTGTCATTATGTACATGCTGTAAGTAGCTTGTAAAAGTAATATAAAATGTATAGACCCATTTATAATACAAGTACTTGCAATTTTGCACTGAAATAAAAAATAAACCTGTGTGCTAAACCTTCACAAAAGAATGAACTCTTATAATTGCTTGTATGTAAACATTACAATTTTCTCTGCAAAATAAAGTAAAAGAGACAGTTCAGTGTTAAAAATTGAGTATTTGATTTATGAACCACTTTATAATCCCGAAATAACAGAAAATTACAGAATAGTGCAGCGCAACACTGTAAAACTAAACTGAGAGTTTAGGCCTCTCTTTTTCATATGTCGGCTGGATCTATATATGAGAACTAAGTTATTGATTTACAGATTATTAGTCAAATCCTCAAATGGGTTGAACAAACCATGCAATGATTGTAAGCGCTTTTCTTCTCCACCTCTGCCTGTGGTGACTCTGTAACTGAGATGTTCGAGGGCTGCCAGGTCTCCCTGTACAGGTTATCTGTGTCCTTTGAAAGGTTATTAGTCTGATGTTATTAGAGGAAGAAATGGAATTTTACATTTGTAAGAGTACCTGCATAATTTTATTGAAATCTTTCATCATTTATAACATTTATCTTACTTACAATATAATAATTCCTCTCTGAAAAATCTTATCCTGCCTAAATTAGCTAAATAATATAAAAAGGTACCCCAGCAATTAAAAATAAATTGTAGCAAAGTACATAAATTACCATTCATATCATGCAACTAAAATGGTCACATTTTATGCAGCATATTTTTTCTTTCATAATGTATTTGCATGTTTCTTTCCACCCACTTTCAGTCTTTTTTCTTCTCTCAGTTGCCCCCAGATGATGCTTTAATGCCAATGTTTTGGAACGATACCACTTGCCTTTTAATTTGTTGTTATTATTTCTGTCCTGTGATTGTTTTACTTTTGTTTCACATAGCTGAGTTCTTTTATAACTCAAGACTTTGTACATGAGCCTGCAGACACAGGCACAGTTTCATAACCTCCTGTTTTCCAGATTTTCTTTGTTTTGGTTCCTCAGTTTCTTTTCTATACAATCAGCTTACTTTTCTTGTGTCAGCATGATGAAGTGTTCATACCTTTAGTGCCTTTCTTTTTATTTTTTTAATTTCTAAAATCCGCATGTACTTTTTATGCTGATACAGAATGAGTTTTATTGTTGTACTTCATGATATTAATGTTTGTATCACAGTAGTAGGATTTGCACAATGTAATACAATAGAATATATTATGAAATGGTTGGTAGAAATTGGATGGTTTGACTGGCTAATAAGAATCCAGAGCAGCACCTGCAATCAGCACAATTCACAGCTCAGAACTTGTAAAACTCAGAACAGTGAACTGTGTTGATTGCAGCCGGAGTGTAGAACATTGGACCTTCTTCTTTAATTAGCAATATAAATATTTTTTAAAATTAGCATTTTGTAATCACAACAGTGTCAGAAAAAAGTAACAGTAATTCACCCCTTGTTGTGTTGACTACACAAGAATGAAAATAGTGTGTATGAATTAATAGAATACAGCTCACACTCCTTTTTATTGCTTAATTTGAAAATAGTAATACAAAAGCCGTAAGATCATCTTCTGATTTTAATTCTGTTTTTGCAAATTACTTTTCTTCACAGCCTGAATAACAGCTTGTGCTCCTGGTGCTCCTCTAATGGGCTTAAAGGTACTGTTACAGCCATTATTGCTACCATCACAACTTTGACCCTTCTAGGCTCTGGCTAATGCCTCCCTGGTAATTTGCTAGCTGCCAGAGCTCTTTTTGCAGTGCAGATGGCATGCTCCATCTTGGTACCAAGGGTATTATTGCCACGACAGGCTCAGTCTCTACCTATATGGGGAGCGTAAGCCCTGAGGTGACTCATGAACTCCGTTTTCATGAATGTTAATGCACGGGGTTGCCTGTACATAATGGGGCAATGTCAGCCTGATGGATTTTTATATGTAATTTAAACAGAGGTCTACTTTATACTTTCCGTTTCATTTCTATTTTAACATATACTAATAGAAGCATACACAATAGTAACCAACAAAAAGAAAATCCGTTAAAATACAAAAGTATGTCAGCATATTGAGAGAGTAGACTAGCAAGAGTCCTGCTGCCTTTCACACTCCGAGAGTATGGCCCATATGCTGCTCTCTAATTGGAAAGGGTCAGGGGCTTCTTTTTCCTGTGCAATCTAGGCTATTGGATTTCTTGCTCATTCTTCCAAGTGTGCTCAGAGAGTCTGGCCCCTGCAATAGTTCTCGAAAACCTTTGCGCAACTAAAGAAGTCTAGGATGCCTAATAAATGACTTCCTGCATTGCAGCAGTAAGAAACCTGTTAAGAAAATGTGGTACTTTTTGCTCCTTTCTAAAGGCACAGAAAATTTCTTCACAGATTTTCAAGGTTGCATGTGATACGTTTCACCTACTTGATTTCTATAGCTGAATTTATTTGTTGTCTGTCACTGCCTTAGTCTGGAGAGAATTTAGTCCTATCTGTGCATAACAGAATAATGGGCATTGTCACCAGCCAATACTTACAGTATCATGTCCTGAAATGAACGCATTCTTCCCAATTTCTGTTCTTTAAATTGAGTTCCATGTGGATTTAAGTCCCGAGGGAGATTTGGAAGGAGAAATGGAGGATAAAAGAAATCAGCAATTTTCGTTGAAGACATTTTGAAATTAAAAGTTTTGGGGAAAATGCAATAAAATATTAATTTTGTGTTTTACCTTAAAATTAAAAATTAAAGCCATGTGAATGAAACTCCAGAATATTTTACTTTGATATAAAGTGACAGGCATCCTTCACTAGGATGTGACAATTACGTTTTCTGTAGTTACCTCTGTGTTTTGGGAGCAGAACTAAAACCATAGTTTAATGCAAATAATTTATTTGATGAAGTTAGCTTCTTTTTTGTTTTAACTGGTCACAAATAAGTGTATTCATTTCTTGATAGTATTTGATATATAATTTTTGCATGTCAGTTGTTTATGAATAGTATGATGTAAAATCTATTAGAAATTTAATCCGTCTTTATTAGTTCTGATTGAAAAAACAGATCACATGAGACAGTTTTTCATTTGTTCTGTGATTAGTAGAGCACAGATCAATATTTACTTTTGAAGCATATTCTCTAATAAACATATATAGTTGATGTTTCTGGTTAATACTTCTGTTGAAAACCAGTAATAGTCACTGCAACCAAATGCAAAGCAAATTTAAACACTGCGTTTGACATTAGCACTTTTTTTTTAAGGAATGCATTTTTTTTTAGTTTCATATATATTACCTTCTTTTTACTGCTACCACATCATTAACAATACAACTGACATAATGGAAGCAGATGATACAGAAAGAGTAAATTGAATTTACAGACATTCAGATACCACATTTACTCAAATACTTCACTCAAAATAACAAGAAATAGATACAGGGGAAGAATGCAGTCGAAGTGTATTTTTATGAACATACGTACTTTTAATATGCATGCTTATGGATATGTCTTAAGATATTCCTGACATTTCTGATATCTTTGCTTTTTTATTATCTTATTTCTACTGATACCTTAGTTTAAATTAGGCCAAACAAGGCAGTCTTAGCACTATGTAGCTAAAGGAGATGCAGCTTGATAGCAGCACATAAAGTGAAAAATTAAAAATGATGTTTTGTTTTATCACAGTATTTTCTGCTTTATGTTTTTGTTCTGAAAAAATGCATCTTTTGTAGCAGTAAAAGCATATTATACACTTCCATATTTTTCTGTGAATCACACTTACTTTAATTTACCGCTATTCAATGAAGAATAGCAACTTAGACTGAGAATTGAACGTATTTCAAAGATTGTAAGAATCTGGAACTGAGTTTATCGCATTTTGAACAGCAGCACACTTGACTTCAGGGACAAAAGCAACCACTATGTGTGACTAAACTGACTTCTTATATAAAATAAGTCTACAGAATAAAACTTACCTAGTAACTCTGTTACTGAGTCAATGACCTGTGTTAGATCCGAAACCTGTTTTTTAGAAAGACAGCTGATTGGGACTTAAACACCTAAACTGAGAGTGGTCTGTTTTGTCTTTTTGCTGTTTTTTCAGTTCTTGTGATTGTTACTAACTCAGTTGAGTTTTAGCTCACTAGTCTAAAAACAGTGGGACGTGAATTAATGATGGTTCTTATTACTGAAATGCAGTGGTTGTTAGGCCAGAATTCTTGAATTGTTTAATGGAAAATAACAATTTGACGTGAAATCATAAGAAGTGGTAAGTATAAAATGTTGGCAGTAAACAAAATCTCTGCGGTGGAAATAGTGCACATGGTGACAACAGGTTAGCTTTCAGTTAGCCGAGTGATCTGGATGAGTGAGTGACAAAATAGCAAAATACCATATTTTCAGTTAAATTTTTTCTAGCTTCTACCTTCAGTTGTTGTATCTTGTTAAACCTTTGGCTGTTACTTTAAAAATCCATATAATATCAATTATCTTTTCCTTATGTGGCTACCCAGTGACCAAGATTAAATCACCTTTTAACCTCATAACCCTTTTGCTTTAAATCTCTCTGAGAGACACATTTTTCAGAACTTGAGTCACTTTTGTAGAGTTCTTCTGAAGCTTTCCCGGTCGTGCGAACTTTTTGATGTCACAGTGATCCCATAATACATAGTTTTTGCCTCACCAGTGAAAAATAGTAGGTATCTGTTCACTGACCCTAATTTTCTTACACCTTTTGTAGCAAGCTTAGAAGAAAAGCTTTTTGAACTAATAAGAAAGGGAGACCTGTGCTTTAAAAATCTGGTCTGGGAAACAGTTAGTGTGGCTCATAAGTACACAATGCTCTCACAAAATAAATGCTGACAGTATTGCAATGAATTCCACAAATGTAGCAGTTTTGATCTTTTGGGTTTTTTTTTGCTTTTAAGTAGTATGCACTTTCTGAAAAGCAAAATTGATGTTAAAAAATAAATTGATATAAATGATATCATGAACTAATTTCATAGCATTGTAAGTAAAATATCCTCTGCTGGGTTAAAACACTCAGATGAAAATGCGTGTAGTTGTTGTTAGCAGAAATGAGATGTATCAAGCTGTGGGTTTTTTTCCTAGCAAAGCAAGTACTGAGGCTACTTCTGAAAGTTGATCCTGCCCACCAAATCACAGCTGATGAATTACTTGATAACCAGTGGATAATAGTGAATTTTTCTTCACCTTGTGTTCTACCTCTTACTTATTTGGTATATAAAGATGCTGCATTGCCTCAGTGGAACCCACTAGAGAGGAAAATTTAAAAAAACACAACTTACCTGACAAAACACTTATAGGACCCTTATCCAAATCTCCCAAATCCATTTACCTGTTTTGCTTGTATCCTGTGGACTTTTGACAAGCCTGTTAACTAGGAGAGACTTTACACTGTGTTCCTTACCCAAACCAACTTTACCTGATTTCCCATATATTTTGACGTAGTATGGAAATAGGGGTTCAGGTCAGGCGTAATTAATTCTCACAATGTTCCTGTTAGTAGAATAAAAGTTTTTTTGTTGTTGTTGGTTTTGGGGTGTTGCTTGTTTGTTTGTTTGTTTTAATTTAAAAACAGATGATTGAGCTACAGGGAAATTTGGCCATTTGGAAGGCAAATGAACTGTAGTGCTGGAAAGGGAACCTGTGAGCTCCCAGCTCCCTGGCTGGGCTGCAGACCGCGCCACTATGAGAACGTGGAACTTTCAGCTATCTGATGAAACAGTTGCACTATTTCATAGTTGAAATTAAAGCAGTGGGAATGGATATATCTGCTACTTAAAAATAACACTGATGATAGTAAACTCTAATTTCTTCCATTGCTGGCTTTAATGCCATGTAGAGAGAGAAATGCCTGTGAGTCACTGAAAAATATTCTGGTGTGTGTGAGGATAAATAGCTCCTCTATTAAAAATGGACAACTGGTTTTGCCTCACCCGTTCATCTACTAAAGAGCCACTCTGTAGTAGCATACATCTTTCTTCTTTCCTGCTAATTGAGGAGATGAACAAGAAGCTTTTTTCCAAAGTTTCAGTGCATTCCTATGTCTGGGAGAATAGCCGCAAGCAAATTTGTAACTACAATGGCCTGAAAAATGAGACAATTTTCTTCCAGTTCTGCCCTGCCGTACTATGACTACCATACTGTTCTTGCCTCATGAAACTGAAGATACAGAAAACTACAATCTGTGTGTTTGATGACTCTTCACCATGTATATTCATCGAGTTTGAGACTAAATTCCGTATGATCACATAACCGCATGTAACAAGACCTTCCTATAGTTCATTGTAAACCATTCCTTCTCTCCATACTGTACAACTTTTCAGGCACAGTAGCTTTTAATTTACAATGCTTCATTGTAAATTCTACTCTTCATTTACTACTCTTCATTTAAAGAGTAGGTAGCAGGCTGATTATCTTATCTATAAAATTTCTACAAATGTAACCCCACATTAGCTGTCTTCCATTGCACTTTCACAGTATGTGTGCAACACGTTTAAGTATGTTTCAATGCAGAACTATATTTTAGATCGTTTCATCAAGTTTTATTGTTTCTAAATGTTGAGAGTTGGCCATCGTGGACTGCAGACAGAATTCCCTCATGCAGGGAGCCTGCTCTGAAGTCTGCTGTTATGGACAGCTTCTGCAGACATTATTCAATCAGAAATAAATAAAATCAGAAATGAGCTCTGGAAATACACTGAATCCATCTTTTCCTCCAGCTGATTTACTCCTAGCACAGTTTTACGCTGCTTCCTTAAGGGAAAACTTTCTGGATGAGACAGTGCTCCAGACAGTGAGCTTGTCTTCATGCTTCAACCTTTCCTGTACGTCACCGGCCAGTGTTTTCTGTTACAGTAGAACTGAAAGGAGATATTTCGGTCTCTTAAGTGTCCCTGCATTAGCATGGGCTGAGTTTCAGTGCCATTTCAAGGCTTGGGTTGCTGTGTCTCCAGTTCTAAAGGAGACTTTGGCAGCCATCTGCCTGTGAGCAGTAGCTCCAACATTAGATGCTTTGCATCTACTGCATGTAGCTGCTCTGCTTGCAGATGGGACTTGGTTGAACTTGCTCCACAGGCTCAGTACCGTGCATGTGCGGTACCCAGTGTACTGGTGTGGTTCTCCTGAATTTCTTGAACAATGTTTTTAACCAATATGCCTGTTTTCTTGAATACCGATGGACCTTTTTAGCATTTTTACTGCCACATACGTCCCCATCTCTCTTCACTACTGACACTTCCAATTTATTTAATAATATTTTTTGTTTCATTGACATAAATTATTTATTTTGTATAGGGAGCTAAGAACAACAGGATGGTCATACAAGGTAATGTCAAAGGTCTTTGTCACATCATCATCAGCGGCCAAGGATAGATGCTTAGGGGATAAGAACAGAAAAAGCATTCAGTACTGCAGTATTATACCAGCCTTCATGCACTTGTTGTTCAGGGTTTTCTGAACCAGAAGAGAGTGGTGGTGATAAAGCTCAGTTGGCTTTTTTCCACCAATTGGCCCAAATATCTTTAAACTCAAAAATTTACTTGTGGCAAAGAATTCCCCAGCTTCAGTAGGCAGGCTGTGAAGGAGAGTCTCCCGTGTAGTTCTGTACCTTCTACCTTCCATCTGCATGTTCCATCGAAAACCCCCCAGTTGTTTGCACTCTCCTATGCTGCTTGTGGTTTTCATATGTATTACATATTGCAGTGTTTGAAGTGGTAGTTAAATGTTTTTCCACATCTAGTAAAAACCTACTTTTTACCTCTAAAAGAAGAGTATAAAGAGAAGAAGCAGGGACTTAAAGTGATAAGTGACACTATGCAGAATTCTTTAACAAATGGTCATTAAGATGTCCTAATATGGCCTGGTTTTCAGTACCACTGAGCACCTGTGGCTCCCATCTTACTTCAGTGGGAGTTGCAGATAGTCAGCACCATTGAAAATCAGGACACCAGTTTCTACTTCATGCTTGTGCCTTCACAGCCTTTGTGATTTTACAATAGCCAGATGGGGAACATGAAAGTGCATTATCATGTAGAGAATTCTGCGTGTAAAAAAATTAACCCCTTGGTGCTGTGTGACACATGAGCTTCTGCATAGGACTAAACGCATTTGGCACCACAGTCTCCCACCAGGAAATCCCTACTATCTGTACCAAAAATTTATGAAGTCACAAGTCATTCTGTATGATTGAAACTGGCATTTCAATCATAGGTGCAGCAATTTTATATTCCAGAACAATACTTTAACAACAAAAATTTTAATTTAAAAGTTACCGTGTACTTATAGCTAAAAAAATGACCTCAAGCTCAATTCAAGTTAGTGGATACCTCTGGAGGTTCATGTGTTGTCAGTTTGAGACCATATATAGTTTTGGCCGGGGGCTATGCAAAGGGTTGATGATTAATTATTTACCAGAAATACTAATTAATGCAGTTCTGTTACTAGTTTTGATTATTCTGATCTTTATACCAGTTAAAACTCTTCAAGACATGTTTAACTTTTTACATCTGCTAAAAAGTAAGAGCAAAAAAGATGACACGATAGCAGAATATTTTAAAGGTTCCAAGAAACACAAAAATTGTGCTACCAGTACATATTTTTTCTGTATAATCTGCAGGAGTATATTACTTATATACTGAGTATTATATTCATGAAATATAAAGCAAATCTTATTTCACAAGAAATATTTTTAATGGATACACATATTTTTGTTTGATACTGTAATTTCCAATTACTTTAAGCTAGATTTTTAAAATATACTTTATTCCATTTTTTCTACCTATATTATATATTGTATGGATTGTGTTATATTTTAACTGTAAGAATACCTCATTTTCTTCACTTCCCACTAGGAGGATTTGATATTTTCTTAGGTCTGATTTAATGGAAGGTGGTGTTTCCTTTTGGGTACTGAGGTTGGTTTTTTCTCTGCTCTACTAATTTTTGGTTTTCTCAGAAGAGCTTTTGAGCACATTGAAGGTGAACCCTGCGTTATAATTTTTTGTTATTGCTGTGATTTTTGATGAAATTTACAGGTACATGAGTATGCTTGACTGAACAGTAAAAGAAAGACCCTAAATATAAAATTTATGTGTACAGTGTGTGTGATTTCTTGTTTCTTTTGGGGGCAGATTGTCTTTTGCAAGCAAACAAAATGCCTTAAGCCCAAATCCTCCCATGCCTGACTTAGAACCCCAGTTCAGTAAAAGTATACACGTTTTGCAAATTATTTAAGTGTGTTTTCAAAGTTATGTGAGGACTTAAAAAATTTGATCCAATGAAGGACTGAGGTGCCTAAGGATGCCTAATGATTCTGAGAAGCAATCTGTTCAGAGCTCTTGCTTTAACAAAGTGGCCTCTCACTTTCCCATCTTAAATTTTCTCAGCTATCTGAAATTGCATCTGTTTGTGCACCTACACCTCCCTCCTTTGGCAGCCCTGGACAGTCTGGAGCTAAATTACAGCCAAACCAGACAGTTTCCTGACAGAATGCAGTAAAAAACACGGCTTTCCTTTAGTAACTGGCAGAAATACAACCTTTTTGTGTGGCAGCCTAGTGGTCAGACTACTTGCTGAAGTTGCAGGAGTCCCAGACTCCATATACAGTATAAGCTTGCCTGGAGACAAAGGCTTGTGCTGGGTGAGAGCACGGCATAGCTTTTTCTTCCCTTGACTGAAGTGATGACATTCAGGTTGGATGGCTTGCAAAAGGATCACTTTCTGTGATTCTGTAGAGCAGGCATTTGACAAGAATGATAAGGGCTAAAATATATACCGGACAAGTGCATTTA